GTCGACCGTCATCGACGCCAAAATAGGCACCGTACTGGGGAACGGGATGTACTCCCCCTCTTGCCTTTGGTTCCCTTGTCCTGCTTTTCTTGTTCCTACATTGCACGCTGCCGGCGCTTAACGCCATCCTATGTACTCCCGGCCCTGGCATTGCTTCTCTCACCGCCTGACTCGAATGGGACAAGCAACCTAGATGCCTGGCAGTGGACTCCCCAACCTGCCGTGGCAATACAACGGGAGACCCTTCCCTCCCAGCGGCAAACTGGTCTCAACTGATGTTGTCGGGGCTGTTCAGCGCAAAGGCCTTCATGCAGATATGTCGGGCACCCCGAAGTCGGTTGCTTAGGCAGAGGAGTCCCTTCACAGTCGGCCATTTCCTGGCTCTCTCCCACTCCCCCATGCACGTGGCATCAACGGTTCCCCTCTCAGGCAGTCTTGTCTATCGAAGGGGTCCTTCCCAACTGGTCATTGTCAGCCAAACGATTGGCTCGCCTGCCATGGCCTCCCCTTTCAGATGACCGGCCAACGGCTCTCCAAAATCACTCCGACATCGTCGTCGGCCGAGAGTGGGCTTCCCGAAGCATCATGTTCAAAGGCGGATCTAACTGTCCGTACGGGAATCTCAAATCCCCCTACACTAGCTGAGGCCTTTACACTAAGCGACAAGTGGAGTTGCAAGCGCTTTGACAGAGTTCCTGGTGCCGCGCCGCTTACCATAGTTGTCCTGGGAACAGAACTTGCGAGACCCTTGAGCCCTCATCCCCCACCTTCACTTGCGCACAACCGCACTGCCTCGCAATATAACCTTCTCACTTTCGCCTTTTGTCCAATCCAGTACACTGGGCTTGGATTTCGACGTTCATACATCAGCGCCGATGGTTTAGTGGTAAAATTCTCCGTTGCCATCAAGCAGCGTCGGGGAGCCGGGGGTTCGATTCCCCCTCGGCGCAATATTTTTGCTTTCCCTACTACTGTTTTTACTTCGACTTTATGTGATACGACTTATCCCCTGGATTGCATTGTGGCTGGCTGGCCCATCTTCTTTTCATTCTCAACACATAGCTCGGAAATAGAAAAGCGTTAGCTGTTCTTGATATTGCGTATTCACATCTATTGAGTTGCTACTTTCCAGCCGCAAACTGGCATACCAATACCAACGCCTCTTTCAAACCTAGCGCCTGGTGCTTCGAAACCGGACAAAGCTGGACGACCTCCATTACCTGATCTACAGCAATTCGTTGTGAGGCAACATCAACGAACGTCTAGTCCCGCAGAAACTCACTCAGTCCTAAACGAGTTGAGATATGTTTGAACAACATCTTAAAGTCTGATACATGGGGTAATCGGACTAATAGAGATATAACCAGCATCGTCAAACATACACAAAAGGAGACGTAAACCGTTCGCTTCGACAGGCCCCTTCTGGACGAGTGTCTAGGGGGGCCTTCTCCGAACTGGGCCGCGTCGTCTAGATCGTTGTCGAGGCCATGGTAGTAGACAACTCGGGAAGCTATTATAGTTGTCTTCCGGAACCCAACTGGTTCTTCGCCATCGGTGCCGGCGACGAGGGCGACTCTTTGGACAAGAGGCACCACTGATATCATGACTCTGGCAGTTCTCGTTAGTAGTTTGGGGTTGTCAGACCCCGGATGAGCCGCCCCATGAGCAAGTGCTTTGCGCAGCTCGCGCTCCATCACCTCGTGTCGATGCTTCATATGCACTTCCGGGTAGAGCTCGACCTGGTCCGGGAGGTAGCGTTCCCCCGGGAGCCGCCAGTCAAAGTTGAGGACTGTGAGCGACATTCGGACATTGACGGCAAGCCATGCTGCATACGCTGTGTCCCGGTGTATCATCTGGAAAATTGACCGGATCGAGGGGTTGTTCCCATTCTCAGGCCATGTCATCCTAATCCAAGTTAGGATGGGATGAAGAAGCCTGAAGACCTTTGAGGCAAACTGGTCCACGTGGGCCCAGAACAGTGGCGGAAGACCCTGTGTCTCAGCAAGCATCATTCTAACCGTTGTGGCTCTGAGGTTCGACCGACGAAAACCTGGAAGAAGATTAGTTTTCAACGTTCCCACTGCGTCCTTCCTGTCGAACGGATACTCGCCTTCATGCCCAACAAACTGTTCATCCTGACGCACGAGTGTTTCCCTTTGCGTGTCGTCTGCTCCGAAGAGCTGTACGGAAAACAACTGTCTCGAGTATATCGCCATAAAGACTGCCCGCATTACAGCTATGCGCTTTGTGTTGCATGTCATTAAATCATCCCAAGGGTTCGGGTCCGAGGGATTTGGCCGGGCAATGGCTCGGATGATATGTTTCAGATCACAGTCTTTACGTTCAGCCGCAAAGGTCCAGAACGAACCTCGAAGCGGAAGGTCTCCAACTCTAAAGATGTCGTCAACGTGAAGTTTCACGTTCGACACGATGGCGGCATAGTGCTCTGCAAAGAATTGATCGGTGAGCTGATGGTCAGGGAGGTTCCATTGAAGCTGAAGACGATTGGGACAGAAATCTTTCAAGGCCTTCAAGTTTTTCGCCATGACTGCTTTAGCTGTCAATGGCTTGGTTGCCAAGGTTCTCGGTAGCTGTCTGGTGTTGGCTGTGCCTTGCCCACGTTGTCTGATAGTCTGGCCGCCTTGGCCTTGCCTGGTGGACGACATGTCGAATGCTCTGACTTCCTGTGATCTAGAGGAGGAGAGAAGCACTAACGAAAGTTGAACTCTTTTCTCAAGTCTGCCGAGTGCTAAAGACGAATATTTCCCTAGCCAAGTGTGACTCAGATCGTCGCTGATATTAGTCTTGATATCTCGCTGCCAACCTTTCCCCATGACGCATGTTCAGACTTATCAATGTTAAATGATTTGGTTGACACCTACAGGAGTGAGTTATGCTGACCTTCTCATCAAAGGATCCCTTGCTGGCAAGTACGCCTTGTCATGTGTTTTCGACCAAAGGCAGCCAGCCAGGAACATTCGCATCTTTGTGCCTTACAGAGGCATGAATGCCTTTCATAAGATGCCATTGAGCATCAACTGACCCAGATTCCTTGCACTATTACGGGACGTCAAGAATGGACTTGATGCGTGCCTGGGTATGAACGGTCGCCTCCTGGGCGGTACAACGGACACGGCTTCGGTTTTCTCTCTGCGCTCCCGGTCTGCTTTGTTTAACAGAATGAGAACACTGTATTGAACGATACCATTCCATATTCTGCATGTCGTACAAGTCGACAATAACAAAGCAACCTCAATACAAAGGCGTAGGCAATGCATTCAACCAAGGTCAACAGAGCCCCGGACAACATGGGTATGCCGAGGGTGCACAGGCTGAAACAAGCAGGGTAGCCTGGTCCAAACAAGCATCTCCAAGTCGCCTTTACTCAAGGGCGACCTCAGATCACTTGACTTTGCGAGTGCAGGAGAGGGGTATTGAGTGGCGCTGGGGTTGCGCGTCGTTTGACTCGCGACTAACACAATATGCTCAGACTTGCGCAAACCGTGAGGGATAGGGGGAACGGAAGATAGTGGCATTTTGAACCGACCGGATACAACGGAGAAACCTTCTGGACGAGCCCTGTAAAGACTGAGCCCCCCAAAATGCGAACGTCGTGCCTCATGGCTGGGAAAAGGCGTGATCTCGAAACAGGGATGTAGCCTTAGGCGTAGGAAGGGGCAGGAGAAGGGGTCAGGAGGAGACGCTCGGTTCAGGCCGAGGATTCGGGGCAACGGGGGAAGGGACCAAAATAAAAAAATAAAAAATAATTTAATGGGACGAGAGGAATCAAGCAAGAAACTATCCAGATGACAGGAGTTTTGTCTTGTACGTGGCAGGCAAGCCCCAAGATACAAGAGTGTTGGGCTTTTAGGTGTAACCTCGTGTCGACAGGCAAGAAAACCTGCCTTTTCTCTTTTCCTTTTTCTTTCTTCTTGCAGCTTGGAGAACATACCATGAGTAGAGGCAGAGATGATTAGACCGCCATTCGAGGAAACAACCAAACGGAATGGATGGCATCTGAGATTGAGTCGTGTACAGATATAAGTCCTCGTTACAACAACAAACGGCAGCCCAGCCTGCAAGGTTTGCTCGTCGGTACGTGTAATCATTGGAGCACAGTAGCAACAGACCTCCACCAGGGCTGCTTAAACTTCCGCAAACCCGGTCTATCTCTCTGTCGGTGATCACATTGGTGGTGCCATCAGACTAGACTCGTATCCGCTCTCGCCTCATCTCTCTCACTCGTGCCCGGGCTTGCTATCATCGGGGGGTTTCCTTCGCCCTAACCATAACCCCGGGAGGACCTCGCTGAGTGGGCGGTACCTGCCTTACGTGCTGAGCTAAGGTCGTAATCGCGCAAAAAAAAAAAAAAAAGGCTTCACCTTCCACTAAGGTCCAACCCAGATCCCCACTTTTCCGGCGTCTTCTGTCCTTCGGTTGGCGGATCAAGCGTCGCCCGCTTGGGCATTTTTTTGCGACCGGCAGGGCCCTCTTGGTGCACGCTCTCTCTCTGACTCTGCTGCTGAGCGCAATCCTTCGCAAAAAGTGCAAACCCATCGCAACTTCTCATCCCGATTTCGCCGTCAACACTACGAAAAGAACGTTACCACTCGTTCTTGCCTAACTCTAATCCGCCCTATCCGATATCCGTTGACATTGCCTGGCGCAACGTCGGAACCTCCCCACATTCGAATCTCTGGAAGGAAGCAATCGCCGTCCTCCAGCACTTTCCCAACAGTGAAGCGAGCAACCGTCGTCACCACCACCACAACCTCCAGTGTCCAGCCACTCTCGAGCGGAACCCTCCCACTTTCAACTCTTCCACCTACATCCGCGACCAGCAACCTTTCCTTTTCGGCTGCCCGCATCCGGCCGACCCATCTCTCTCGACATTTTCTCTCCAGAGTCTGCTCCCCCCAGCGTCTCTATCAATTCTACCCCTCATCGGTCCGATCCTTAATCAGCCCTACATCTCCAACCACCACAACAAACCCGTCACGATGGCGACCTCTGTGCAAACACCCACGAACCCCGACCAGCAGGTCGACCTCTCCACCATCCCCATTTCCCCCGAGGGTGGTGAGAAGAGCGAGACCAAGGAGACCGACGCCGAGAAGCCCGTTACCGTCTTCCACGACAAGGAGAACTTCAACGTCAAGCACCCTCTGCAGAACAAATGGACTCTCTGGTTCACCAAGCCCCCAGCGGCAAGGTCAGTTGGCCCTGCTGGAGACGGCCTAGAACCGTGTACTAACTCGACGCAGGGTGACAACTGGAACGACCTTCTGAAGGAGGTCATTACCTTCAACTCTGTTGAGGAGTTCTGGGGCGTATATGTACGCGTGCCTCCCTTCCCTTCGACCCCTCTTCTATTTGCTGATTAGCTTCCAGAACAATATCGCTCCCGTCTCCGAGCTGGCTCTCAAGTCCGACTACCATCTTTTCAAGGCCGGCGTCCGCCCCGAATGGGAGGATGCTCAGAACAAGCACGGTGGCAAGTGGTCCTACCAGTTCAAGGAGAAGCGCAGCATCCCCATCGATGACCTCTGGCTCCACGTCATGTTGGCCGCTATCGGCGAGACCCTCGAGGGCGAGGACGACGGAGAGGTCATGGGCGTTGTTGTCAACGTGCGCAAGGCTTTCTTCCGTATTGGTGTCTGGACCCGTACCATCGGAAAGAGCATTCCTGGCCGCGGTGATGGTGACGTGGCCGGTGGCAAGGGCCGCTCTCAGGATAAGGGTCGTGAGATTCTCTTGAACATCGGCAAGCGCTTCAAGGACATCTTGAACCTCCCGCCCAACGAGGTCGTCGAGTTCTCCGGCCACACCGACAGCGCGCACAGCGGAAGCAGCCGCGCGAAGGCCAAGCACACCGTCTAAGAGACGTATTCAAACCTCAGAAAAACACAACATATAACACACCAATGCATTATATCGGACTTGGTAGGCCCCTCATCCCGTTGGGGAGGCCCACTGGCGTCTGCATGATATCACTCCTCGTCGCATTTCTTAGCCGACCTTGTTTTTAGCCTGATGCCAGTAGAGGACGAAAACGGGGCAATGCTAACGCATCGATGATAACGCATCTCTGGGGCGGAAAAGGTTCTCTCATGATAGTCTTTGGAGCTTTTGACGAAGGCGTTGCTGAGAAGAAAAAAGAGATCAATGGTTTTTTTTTTGGAACTTCTAGATGGCCGTGATCGATAGTACATAGGCGGATGCGAATATCCGGAATAGATACCTAGGTTTAGGCCAAATTGCCCTGGTGCGCGCATGTGCGCGCCCCCCGCCGTAGTGAAGGGTATATTTTTTCTCATCCATTGTTTTGTCCACCTCAATTCTATTCAACCTGCCCCTTTACTCAAACAAGTCGTCGCAATATCAACCTACTACGGATTCTCTTCGTGTATTACTATAATTACATTTCATCACCGCTGAACTGGTCTTCGAAAACCGCCTGGACCAGCTGCTTTTTGTTGATCTTGCCCATGGCGTTGCGAGGAATGTGGTCGACAACCTTGAGGACCTGGGGGATTTTGTAGTTGACGAGACGGTCGCGGAGGGCCCTCCGCATGGCCATGGGGGACCAGTGGGGGACGACGTCCTTGTTGAGGATGACGACGGCGCCGACCTTGGAGCCCCACTTGCCCGAGGGGACGGCGACGACGGCGGCCTCGGCGACCTCGGGCAGCGAGAGCAGCTCCCGCTCGACCTCGAGGGCGCTGACCTTTTCGCCGCCCGTCTTGATGATGTCGGCGCTCTTGCGGCCCTGGATGAAGTACATGTCGCCCTTGGCCCAGGAGGACTGGGCTGCGGTGAGGCCCGCGTTGGGGACGGGTCTGCGGACGGCGACGTCGCCCGTCTTGAACCACTTGCCCCTGCCGTCCTGGCCCTCGACGAACTCCTTGGCCGTGGCTTCGGGGTTGCGCCAGTACTCCTGGAAGATTGTGGGGCCGCGGAGCTGAATCTCGCCGGAGCGCTCGCGGCCGGTTTCCGGGTCGATGTCTTCCCCGGGCGGGATGACGGCGCCGGTGTCCATGTCGACAAGGCGGGCCTCGACGCCGGGTAGGGGCCAGCCGACGCTGCCGTCGACGCGGTCGGCGAAGTCGAGGCCGCAGGAGAGGGCCATGCCGACCTCGGTCATGCCGTAGCGCTCGAGGAGAACGTTGCCCTTGGAGAGGGTCTTCCAGGCCTCCTTGATGGGCGTAGGCAGGGCGGCGGAGCCGGAGATGGCGAGGCGCATGTGGCGCGGGGAGACGGCCTCGCGGGTCGGCTCGGCGGGGTCGAGGGGCAGGGCCTTGTGGGTCGCGAGGAGGCGCGAGTAGACCGTCGGGACGACGGTGAAGAAGGTAATCTTCTCCTTGGGGAGTGAGGGTGTGCCGTTGGTGCCGTTGGTGCCATTGGTGCCGTTGGTGACACCGTTGCTCGTGATGAACGGCGCTGCGAGGCGCTTCCAGACGGCGTCGGCGTTGAAGGGGAACATGAACTCGATCGTGGACCCGGAGAGGAGGGGTGTGAGGACGGCGTTGACGGTGCCATGAATGTGATGGAGGGGGAGCACGTGGAGGAGGTGGTCCTTGGGGGAGTAGTTCCACGCCTCGATCAGAGACTTGGATTGCGCCGTCAGGACGGACTGAGGAAGCAGGACGCCTTTCTTCGAGGGTGTTAGTATCGTCAGGGGGGAGTGAACGGAGGTCTAGCGGAGGGGTACAAACTGGTCTGTTTGTGGTGCCCGATGTGTACAGCATCATGCCGGCGCCGCCCACGTCGGCGTCCTCGAGCTCGACTTGCTCATGCGCGCTGCCGCCGGGGTGCTTCTGCAGCTCGACTTGTGTAGGGTTGGAGACGAGTTCCGTCGCAAGGACCTCTTTCGCCTTGGTGGCGAACTTTGCCGAGGACACGAGCAGCGACGCCTCGCTCTGGTTCAGGATGTATTGGAGCTCGGCCGCGGGGAACGCCGGGGAGAGGGGAACGGCGATGGAGCGCGCGGCGAATGCGGCGAGGAGGGTCACTATGAGGCGGGCATGTGTCAGGACCACCGCGCATTACATCTTGCACAACAGAGGGAGGCTCTAGAAGCCCATATTCGGGGGGCAAATGCGACTTGGCTTACCTACATAGTCGTAGCTGTTCTCCACCAAGAAGGCGATACGCTCGCCATTGAGGTCCGACTTGCCCGCCGTGTCCAACAGCTTGTTTCGCGCGCGGCGCACGTCACCCAGGAGCTCGCCGTACTTGAAGCGGCGGCCGGACAGCGAGTGAATCACGGCCGTGGACTCGGGGTCGTGCTGGGAGATGGCCTCGAAGAGGGGCAGTCTTGGTAGTGCGGTCGTGGAAGCCATTCTTGCGGATCGCGATGCGCGGGCAGCAGCGAAGAATCGGGATGCGGGACGGGAAGAGTAACTTGCGGGATCTGTAACACGGGCGGCGACGGCGGCGGCGAGGATGGCGGGAGCGGCTGAGAAAGGGGGTATTCGGCAGCAACAACAGCACCCGGGCCGTCGAGCTACATTCCGTAAACCGGAGGCCAACATGGATTGTGGGGGAGAAGGGGGAGGGGGTTGATATGCGTCGTTATCAATGGCGTTATTAGAACGGATCGGAACACGGAGTTGTTGGACGGAGTGGGTATTGGGGAGGGGACGGACCCCGGGCTTCGATTATAGGTAGCTCTCGGATCTTGGTAGCGGTAGGTGAGTGCAGTGCAGCAGCGTTAGGTGTGCGCGCGTGTGTGAGTGCGTGTGGTATTTTTTTCTCGTGTTGCTGTCAGGTCCCGGATCGGACTTCTCCTTGCAGGGCCGCCGGTATGATCTGCCGAAGACCGGACGGAAAACTTGGGTCGTGGGTGTGGCTTGCCCGGACCACCTTGGCTGAGGCTTGGTTATGGAGCTACTAGCGGGAGCTCTGAGAGTGGAAATGCGTGTGGTGTGTGCGCCTCTATGGAGATTAGGATCGTGAATGTCTGGTGCGGCTGGGATCCAGCGTCGTGGAATGGATGGCTATCTGCTGCGGCGTCGGTCCACGTCCCAATCCACACTACCCGGTCCTCAGGTAGCGGCGGGACCGGTCGAAGCGGCCGACGTTTCCCACGAGGTACCTCTGCCTATCCGCCCCTCCATTGCATAGCGCCTGGGTACCTCGGGCACGAGGGAGAGGTATCTAAACCACCTGAACACATTTGGTGGTAGCAGTGGTGCTGGTGCTGGTTCTGCTGCACCCTCTGCCGCTGCCGAACGTTGATGTTACCATGCCACACGTCACCGCGTTTGATTATTCCATGCAATGTGCCTGGGACTGGCGAGCTCCCTCCCTCCCTTCATCTTCCCCGCCCGCATGCATTGGCGACATTGTGACTGAACAGCTGGATAACCTGGAACCGGGAATCCTGTGATCAGGTGCCTAATGGTGCCTTGCGCGAGACTGGGAGCCGAAGGCAAAGCGGAGCTCTCCTGCTGTGCTGTGTTACAGCTTGCAAGGCCTCGTGTGCTCTTTTCTGCGATGCGAGGTGACGGGGGGTTGGGGGCCTTTGGGAAACACGCGGTGAGCAGAAATGGAGAACAGGCAAGGGTGGGCTGGGTGGAGGAGTCATCATCATGGAAGAGCGTGAGGTGCGTGTCGGGTTTGGCCATGTGTTGTTGTTATTATTGTTTGGTGGTGCGTGTGTTCTCCAGTTGTTCTAGGTGTTCCAGTTGGTCCACCATGGCCCCCAACGCGGCGCTAAGGCCCAATACCAATACATGGGGTGGAAAGGTTTCTGGGCTTGGGAAGAAGAAGCAAAAAGGGCGGTGGGCGTAAAACATTTCCCGTACTGCAAAAGCAAAGCTAACTTGGCCGGCCAGTGAGTGAGCGAGCGAGTGAATGAGTGACAATCTCGCTCCTGCTGACAGGAAGCGGGGTGAATTACAAACTTTGCAACCAGAAGCCAAGCAAAAATACAACCCAACGAGGACGAGAGCAGGTGCGGCGCAGATAAACCAACCGGCTAAGCAGAGTCGCAACCCGCTGCGCACCGAACAAGACCAGAACAAAAAAGAAGGGGGAAAAGGACGATTTCACCTCGTCCCGAGTGCCCACAAATCCCAGTCTGTTCACCCTGCCAGTCCTGCTACACACTACCTTACCTGCGCCGCTGGAATTGCTCCCCGGTGGGGCCCACAGGTTCCCAACCGGAAGGACAGAGGCAAGGTCGCCGGCCCGCTGATTGGCCGGGGCCCGCATGTGCCATATTGCTCGCCAAGCCAATCCCGCATGGCCGCTCTTCTCTTCCTCACCGACACACCGAACTTTCTTTGCCTTGTCCGGGGTGTCGGTTGTGCGTTGTGTGTGGGAAAATCTGCTGCTCGGCTTGCCATTTGCCTGCTTGCTTCTCCATCCTGCATCATCCCACCCCCATCCCACATCATCCATGCTCGGCTCCCAGGTCCCAAGTTCCAGGGTCACACTTTTGCACACCGTACCTTTCACGCACACGCAGGAGCAGCAGGCGCCAGCTCCAGTCATTCTACCCTCTTCCTCTCTCTACCTAAACCGAAAAAAGTTGTTGGGCTAGCAAATCCATACCGCACCACGCAACCACGCAGCAGAAGCAAGGGCAGCTTTCTTATTCTCCCCTGTCCGGGTTTTCTACACCGTCCTCCATCCAAACTCCTTTACCGCCGCACCGCATTGCAGCCCGCAACAAGCCGCCGCCGCGTACCTACTTCTACTTGCTCCTTTCCCCCTTTCGCCTTCTTTTCTCCCTCCTCCCCTTTCCTACTCCCCCATGAACACATTCCGCCCTTTCGTTGGCAGGATTGGGAGTAGCTTGACCGGAGGAACAACCCAACTACACACACCAATGTTGCGAAGATACGCCCTCGGCTTCTCAGCGGGTGCCGCCAGACCCCTCGGAACCATGTCGTCCGCCACCCCCGTTGAGGATGCCATCCGGACCAAGGTACGCTGCTCTTCGAGATATGAAGCGGCTCCCAAGGACGGCTTGCTAACACAATGACCCCCAGGTCACCGCCGCCTTCTCCCCTACCACTCTCGAGATCTACAACGACTCCCACCTTCACAGCCACCACAAGGCCATGGCCGGCAGCACTTCCAAGGAAACCCACTTTAGGTACGAGAACCCCCAAATCTACTCTTCGTCTTGCAATGGGACCCGGAACCCTCTACTAACACCACCGCTGTACAGACTTGTCATCACCTCCGAGGCCTTCAAGTCCAAGATGCAGTCCGCCCGCCACCGCATGGTCTACGCCCTCCTCCGCGAGGAGATGGCCCGCGAGGGCGGCATTCACGCACTTCAGCTTAAGACTCTCACCCCCGAGGAGGAGGAGCGACAAAAGGCCAAGAAGGCCGCTGAGGCCCAGTCCTCCGAAGACTCGGCTTGAAAACCCCAACAACAGAATACCACAACACTGATATACCCCAACAACCCCCTCGAGAGGGCATACGACCCTCCGGAGGACGTTACGACACGAGAGATACGACCTTTCCACTAGGAAAAAGACATGACGGAATACTGGGAAACCAATAGGGCAACTACGGGAGCACTTGTATGTGAGAGAGAGGAACGGTGTTTTTATCATTATAAACGGAGTCGGGTCATGCTTTTGCTGCTGCGACACGGAAAACTGAACTCTACCACCTTCGAACCCACCTTGAAACCTAAGTTACGACTCGGATATGACGGAAACCCACCTTTGGATTTGTCAACATGTTTTTCTAGGGGACATTAGATACCGTTAAGACTCTCCAGAGAGCCGGGCATGAAAAGAATCGCGCAGCTAGATCCAGTCTAGACACAAATTGATTGCTTGCGCAACTTGGACTATTTTTATATCACGGCCCTTTTCCCCTGGTCGTGTCCCATGTGGCGTTGAGGTGGTCCCGCAGGCCCCTTTGACACTTGCAGGCTAACGTCCTGGATATCTATTAATGGCACGTAAAAGGGGGTATCATACATAATTCCAAAAGCATTTCCTATCCCAAGGTGGACAGCTTTGGACAACTCGAAGAATAATTTTTATCAAGGCAGCGGAAGTTTGCCGGCCTCATCCATACTATGCGCTCCGGCGGTGCTCCGGTCGACGATTGATTAATATTGTGTCAAGCCCCCTTTCCTCCGATCCAAGGTCTACAACTTGGGAGGCATGGAGCTGGGTGGCGGCGCCAGCCGTCCCTCCTTGGCCATCTTCTCGAGCTTGGCCCTCATCTTTCGCTTCCTTCTTTCTTCCTCCGTCTCGTTCCTGGGCTTCTTGACCCGGTTCCCCTGTGTCGAGGCCGAGAGCGTGCCTCTCGGCGTACCGCCCCGCTGCGTTTCCGCGCTCGGCATGGAAGCCGAGGGCGGAGCGAAACCGAACGAGGCGGGCAGGCTTCGCCGCACCGCGGGGTGCTGTGTCGCGGTCTTGGCTGGAGCCGCCGAATTCCGGGGTGGCGTTTCCGCGATGACGTCGCCTCGTCTAGGTGTCGTGGCGGAGGCATTCTTCCGATCGGGTAGCAGCGAGTCACGGGTGGCGGTCTGGGCGGTCGGGGTAGTATTGAGAATGCGGCCATCGCGGGTGCGGTTATTATCCTCGGAGGAAGCGGCATCCTCTGGGTTTGCCGTTCGAGGTCGCGGGGTGCTGGAAACAATCGTGACGTCTTCATCCCTCGGGAGGACGTCCCTGTGGCGTTGAATGGCCGCTGGGGTGTCCCTCAAGAGTGTGTTCTCCTTGAGTGGCATTCCTTTTTTGCCGGCATCCCCTTTGGTGAAGGGCATTTGCGGTTCAATTACTAAGAAGTCGTCATCTTCGACTTTGATGCTGGCTTGCCGTCCATTTGCAGAACCCTTCTCGTTATCTTGAAGAATAGGCGATGGCTGGTTTGACAAAATGTAGAGGTCGGCGGATGTTCCTCTCGGGTTGTGAGATTCTGATCGAGCCCCTGGCTTGGGTGTGACTACCTGGCCAATTGTGGTCTGAGGAACCTTCTCGAGTAGAGACAGCTCTCCAACTCCCGGACGCGGAGATTTCCCCCCGGAAAGGGACTCCTTTGCCGACTTGTATGCACTGTGGTACACCTTGAAAACCTGATGAAGGTTCTCGCGCGTCACAATGCCACCCTGAAAGGCTGGCTGGTCTACATACTCAACGTACCACTGATAGGCCGAGAGTGGGGACTCGTCGTCATCCAAGGTTTCGATGTAAGGAACGAAGCCATCCACAAATGCTCGAATGAAGTCATCGTAGAGCCACTTAGGAAGCAGAAGCTTTCGACGAAGGTCTTTGATAGTCAGACATGCCTTGACAAAGTCGCCAACACTCCCAGAATAGGAAGGGTATGCGTTGCGGAAAGCTTCCAAGGGACCCTGCGCAAAAGTTTTGGCAGTCACCTCCCGAGGTGGCCGAGGAGACGTCTCGACCGGTCTTCGATACTTATTAGCGACTTGAGGGCTGGAGGGCGCATCCTGTGGAGCTTGAACCCTAGCGGATGACTCGTGGGATGTCGATTTCGCGATCCTCGCCTCGTTCGCCACTTCGTGCCGACTTGTTGGCCGAGAGGCCCTCTTAAGGGGTTCTTCTGCTGTCCTTGTAGGATGACTCGTCACTCCTGACATCTCCGTCCCGTAGAGATCGAGTGTCATATGAACGAGCTCTTCAGGGAAGACAAGTTTGCCGTTCGCTTGTTGCAGAGCCGCGCGGTGGAGTATACCGTCAGGTTCGGACCACAGTCGTGAAAGCCTGGTGCCGTTTTTAATGGCCATATCGGTGATTTTCTGCAAGGTTTCGAGGCTGCGAGCTGTCAAAGCCGATCGAAAATGTTTTAATGTCGGCGGAAGCCAGTCAACGCCTTCTGCCTTCCACTCATGGTCCAGATATGAAATAATGTTCTGACACTGCGCGTTTTGCGTCTGTTGTACGAGGCTACCGTCGTCTGGCCTCGCTCGGGCTCTTCGGATACGATGTTGTTTCCCGTCATAACCTGATCTTCAGAAATGCGACCAGACTTGGGTGACGGTGAGACTGAGTGTGGGGTGGTACAGGCTTGTTGGTAATTAGGAGCGGCCCTGGCAAGGCCCAGGGTATCGTTGACAACTCGAGGTGTTCCTAGAGAGGGGTGGGTGTCAGTGCTAGGAAGCGCAGACGCTATCGAGGGCGCTGAGGATATCGGCAGAGGCTCTTGTAAAGAAGCCGAAAGTGGTATCGTAGGTCGAGCAGGGGTCGTGTCGCAACGGCTACTCTCCGCTGGCTGACCGTGAGGGCTCGAATCAAACTTGATCGACTTCATGCGTCGTCTCTTGTTGGGACCTTCCGCCTGCTCTTCAGGGCTCTTAACGTCCTTGTAAGTGGATGGGACCATGCTTCCCTGGCCGCAAGGTGGACTTGTGACTGCTTGTGAAGCAGTCACCAGGCGTGCAGCCATTCGATTGATAGGGGGCGTTGCTTCAAAAAGAGCACCAGGAATGGCTGTTTCCAGCTCGTCCTCCAGACCAGCGCTGCTTGACGGGAAAGCCTCGACTGGGCGGCGTTTGACTCCGGCTGAGGGCGGGATGTGCCGCTTAGGAGCTGGCTGTATGGGCGGCGAAGACGCGATCTGAGGACTGCTCAGACGGTCCGGCGGAGGAGACTGGGACGTAATCCTTGATGCAGCAGCCTGGCGTTCCGTCACAATCTGCGACCTGATAGACGGTGCCGGAGAGGGCGTGGGGTGTTGTCTTGGGGCACGGGGAGACGGCTGAGGGGATTCTGGCCAGGAGCTAATGGGCGTTCCGGGGCTAGAGCTCAAGTTGGCTCCATCCTCTTTTTCATGGCTTGGTACTGTTGGAGCTATCGGCTCTGTTTCAGCCGGCCCGCTGGAGGCAAGCACATTTGGCTCCTGGGCGGCAGGCGGAAGTGTGCGGCAAGTGTGGAAATATTTGACGTCCTCCAAGGCTTTTGGTGGAACGTTGACAGTTCCCTGGCGAGAATTCTGTTTCAGAGCCGAGATCCAAGAATCATCTCGCTCGAGGAGGGCTTGTTGGTCTTTTGATATTGTCGTGAATTTCTCGGGGATGGAGACATTCTTGGGAAGACCAAAGGGAGTTGATGGGTTAGACGAATTTGGACTGCTTGTTGAGCTAGCCATGACGGCGATGGCAGGGATCGCAGCGGTGAGGTGGTCCTGTGAATTCCTGCATTCAAGGTTGGTGGACAGTATAACGGGAAATGTGAGGGTGCAGAGTTTGGGCTGGATGACCAGGCGCTGAATGGGTCGGAAAACAAAGGTGAGTTGTGGGAAAGGACGGCGAGACTGGGCGAGCGTTCTGGTTGGAGGTCGCAACCGAACCAAGCGATAGCGATGTTTCTTTGAATTGTGAATATCAAAATGTCGGGACGTCGATCACAGCGACGCGGTCAGGTAGACAGCTAGGGATTCTGACGCGTTTTTTGGTGTCGCCAGGGTCAACTGCTTCCCATCCGCATAAAGTGGCAGCAATTGCGGGGTTCTGCTGTCTCTCTCCAAGCCAAGAGTTGGTTTTGGAGAGTGGGGAGACACTGGCTTGACTGAGGTGGCTGACTGGGAGAGGGGCCGACCTTGGAGCTGGCTTGAGCTTCGGAGCCTGAAGTGGTGCGTGTGGATCAACAACCCACCACTGGACTGGTCTGCCGTCTGGCGTCGGGGGACGGCAACGGGTACCGGGTAGAATACATCCACATGTGCTGCAACAGATACCGCAGACGAGGGAGCCAAGGTACCACCGACCTTGCTTTGCCCAGGCTGCTGCAACGGCTTTCTGGATCGTTCCCAAGCGTCCCACAACAAGTCATTCCGAGGTATCGTAAGCGCACTAACGCAGCAGCGACCGCCTTCTGGAAAGCATTCGACACTCGGAGCAAAGGCAGCCAGCGCTTGCCAACTGCCAACTCAAACCCAACTTCGCCTGTCGCTGCGTCATCTCGCCTCGTTTGACGGCTGCACCAGCCTGAAAATCCCTGGGCCACGCGCGCCTAGACCTCTGGGGGATAGCGCTTCCCGGCTCGCAGTAGTCTGCGGATGGTCCGCCTCTAAAAAGGCATCCGGCGCCGTCTTCAAGACGTTAGCTCGTCCTGCACCAGCGCAGACAACGCGCGGGTCCCTAAGACGACATACCACACCCCTTCTCATCTTCACCCAAACACCTCACACGCGCGCGCACCCGGAGCCTGGCCTTTGCCACGTCGTTTCTCCTCTTCGTCACCTGCGCCCCTCTTGGACCCTTGGGGTTTGCCTGTGTCCCTGTCGAAAACCCACCGATATCTACGACGTCCGACCTCTCAAACCACTGCCGACGAAGAACCCCCTCCCGAAGCTCCCATACCCCTCGCTGCCACGAACTGCCGAACACTCACCTTAGACTGGATCCGACTGCTGGGCAGGACCCGACGACGAGGGAAAAGGGCTGGACTCGGATGCGCATCACGAAATCCCTACCGTTCTGTCTCGTCATGTTATCCTGACACCAGAAGATGTCAGCACCGTATACGATCTAGGAACTTCACGATCCTCTCCATTTCCTAGCCGTCGCATACGTGATTACGCAAGATGGCTAGCAACAATATTTCGAAACCAAACTCGCCAGCAGTCCTCTCGACGCCCCCGAGCTTCAGGAGTCGCCATGATTCCATCAACTCCATATCCACGGCTTCCCAAGCCGACAAGGACCAGTTAGCCCACACCCTCAACAGGATCCATACGTCAGCAAGCCAGTCCGAATCCTTGACAACCTTCAACGATTTCGCTCCCCTGCCATCATCCCTTCCGGCGACAGAAACAAAGGTCCTGACAGGAGAGTTGGTTCAGAATGGGCTCAGCGGGCTCTACAGCCGCCTGAAGGAGGCTGTTGGCGCCGTCGGCACGAGGCAGCAGGACGTGGACGACGGCGACAGCTTCGACGCTGCCTCCAAGCGCAGCACCAGTACCACAGCCACGACCCCGAAGATACCGATAGCCTCGCTCGCTCGCGCTGAGACCGCAGTCACAAGCTCGTCTTTCAATTCTGGAACGACCCACGATGGTCCTGCGACAGTCACGTCCTCGTCGGGAGTAAACACCGTCATGTCTGATAGCCAGTCACACCCACCTCAGTCCTCCAAGGCGACCTCCATTTCCGCCATGGCAGCCTCAAAGTCTAGTGTCTCTAGCCGACAAAGTCTACCTGGTGTGGCCAAGGCCTCCGCGGTCACAGCCATCAACCCTGAGGTTGCTCCGGCCACAACCCCGAGAAGTGTGGCACGATTAGAGGATGGGCCAGGCCGGTCTTCTGGGAGGAGAAGCATTAGCAAGCAGCCTGACCCCCGACCACTAGTCATCGGTTCCGAGAGTTCGCACAAGTTTGACGTGTTGGAGCCCAAACACGGTGGAGGCGGTGATCGAATCCATACAAGCGTCAGGGCGAGGCGCGAAGACGCCGCCGTGGATGGACCCTTGGATAAGCCCCTGAGTCCGATCAAGACTAATGCACCTTCGATCCCCAAGTTGCATTCGGTAGATCTACGGTCTCCGGTGTCTTCGACCGCGTCCATGATGCTTGTACCGAAGAGGCCGGCTGTCATTGATCGCATCAGTCGTTCTAGGTCGCCAGGCTACGCTCCGTCAAGGTCCTCCTCTATGGAGCATGTCACCGCTGAGCCCAGTCCGATCAGTACGACTGCCCACGACTCCGTTTACCATGATTCCTTTGCCCATGATTCTCAGCCCAAGCATGGAAGGACTGGCGCTTTGCGGATCCCCGGCACGACAACCAACGAGGGTGCGCCTGATCAGGTGAACGCCAGGCTTGATAGAATGCGGCGACAGGTATTGAGCAAAGAGTTCTGGATGGCTGATGAAACGTGCAAAGAATGTTTCATTTGCGGCCAACCATTTTCGGCCTTCAGAAGGAAGCATCATTGCCGAACCTGCGGCTGTATTTTCGATTCCAAATGCACCTCTATCATTCCAGCTTCGAAATTCGGAATGACCGGGACTCTGAGAGTCTGTAAGACTTGTTTGAAGGTCATAAATCAGCGTCTTTACGAAGGAAGCGGCTCTGACGACTCTGGAGACGACTCATTTCTACCAGCCCTCTTCCGCCAGACCAAAGCAACCCCCAAGGTCACACAGGTTGAGGCCGAACCAGAGGAACCTAGCTTTGCTGACCGAATGGAGGATTTGGGCGACTCGAGATCGGTTCAGACACCCATGATGGCGATTCCTGCGACCCGGAGGATAAACGATTCCAATCGAAACTCGGCCATTTTGGAGATTGACGCGCCGCAACTCAGTCGTCCGAGCTCCTCTCGGTCTTTGAGATCACTAACGTCCGCGAACCGGCCGCAGTCGTCGGGACATAGGCGCCATCATTCGAAGCATCACAATAACTTTATGGCGAGGTTCAAACCAATGCCAGACGACAGGGCCCCGTTCCGCAAGGGCATCACTGAGGAGATGGCCAAGAAACCAAAGTATCCTGCGTTTCACGATGACAATATCATTGACCCTGAGTTGGCTGCCTATATGTCAGACGAGTCCAGCGGTGATGAACAGATGAGCATATTCGCCACCATGTCAAACGCCGACTTGCAGCCGTCTAGCTACGACCATGAGAAGTCGAGTTTTGGACCGTTTCTCAGTACAGGAAGAAGACATCGCCTTGGCCGTGGAGAAAAGAGTATTAGTGGCTTGAGCTTCACAAGCCGTGGAATGGATGATAATGCTGGTTCCGGTAGCCTCATTGGTCACAGCCGCCCAGCAAGGAGACGCAACCTGAGCAACGTCAGCCATCAAATGCGTTCTCCGCGGCCCAAGTCCGGCATCTTCAAGGGCCCGTCAGCATCAAACGAAAACATGTTTACCATTGAGAATCCAGCGATCGAGGCTACGAAGCTGACGAGAAGCGACTCGATGCAAGCAGACAAACAGCCACAGGTGGAGCTCAACCCGTCAAGCATGCTGCATGTCAAGAGACTATTGCATCAGTTACTCGAGGATTCGGGCATACCCAACGTGCCTGCCTGGGAAAAGGCTCTGGTTCCCATCTTGCTCCAGTGCACCGATGATGTTACCCCTGACATCAGAGTGGGAGACGATATGGACATACGGCACTACGTTAAGCTCAAGAAAATTCCAGGAGGCAAGCCGGGTGATACTAGCTACGTTTCGGGTGTTATCTTCACCAAGAATCTCGCTCTCAAGAGCATGCCTCGTCGCATCCTCAACCCCCGCATAGTTATTGTTTCCTTTCCGATCGAATACCAGCGGCACCAGCAACACTTCATGAGCCTTCAGCCAGTCATCGAGCAGGAGAAAGAGTTTTTGCGAATTGTCGTCAACCGCATCATCAATCTGCGCCCCCAACTTCTTCTCTGCGAGAAGTCTGTTTCGGGTGTTGCGTTGCAATATCTATCAGAGGCCAATATTGCTGTCGCCTACAACGTCAAGCCTTCAGTCATTGAGGCGGTATCGCGATGTGCTGAGACCGACATCATATCTTCCCTCGACATGCTGGCCCTTCAAGTTCAAGTTGGTAGGTCCGGCGGCTTCGAAGTCAAGACCTATGTCAACAAGAACTATCCCGGGAAGAAGAAGACCTATATCTTCCTATCCGGCTGCTCTGAGAAACTAGGGTGCACCATTGCTCTACGTGGGGACTCGACCGAAGTTCTATCGAAGATGAAAAAGATAACAGAGTTCATGGTCTACGTCGTTTACAACTTGAAGTTGGAGACGTGTTTGATGAGAGACGAGTACATTCAATTACCCGCCGAACCTGAGGAATCCTCATCGCTGGCATCGTCCCTTCGCCAGCACCCAGAAGACGCGCCTCGCTCTCTCACAGCGTCAACCGAAATAGGGAAGAATGGGCCGCAGGTCACCAAGACCTCGCCCACCGACTCCGAGCTCCCTTCCCAAACAAGTGATGGCACATCTTTGGTCACTGCTGAAGGTACTGTGTCATCCGATCAGACCGAGGAACCGGCCACAGAGGATAGACCCGCTCTTGTATCCCTTCACGCATCTCATGTTCCGCCCACGTCTCCCGAGTCTCAAGTGCCAGAAGACGTACCAATGCCGACGTACTACAGCGATATGGTAGCAAGGTACGAGACAAAGATTCTGTCGGCGTCTCCATTCGTCAAGTTCGCTCAGCCCTACTTGCTCATGAAGGCTCGAGAGCAGGAGCGGAGACTCGTTTACTTGAAGCGCTTGCGAGACCAGGACGTGGTAGAAGAGCAAATTGACGCCGAAAAGTCCAAGTCGCAGAAGTTCCAGCTCATCAAGCCTGAAATGGTTCACGCCATCGGGCAGAAGGCACCACGGCAGGTTATGGAAATCTTACACGCCGTCCACGATGCCGAGTATGACAAGGCCTTGTACAACTACCAGACGCAAACAAGGCAGTGGGAGAACTACATTCAGGGCAATCTCGACCTCTTCGATCCCTATTCTCATCAGAACATTGTCGTACTATACTCGGTCATCTGTACCGAGACAAAGATCCCTTGCTCCGAACCAGGACTGATTGCAATCGCGTTCTACGACGAACATGTCGACGAAAGCGGCAGCATGGACCCAGACTGCACTCTCGGTCAGTACATCGAAGACCTCTGCATTAGCAAGGACTCTATCTGTACCTCCAACGGGTGCGACCGAAAGATGACGGAACACCATCGCACCTACGTACACGATGAGTCGCGAGTCACCATATTCGTAGAGCCAGCAGCTAAAAGGCGCAATTTGGACGGCATCACTATGTGGAGCTACTGCAAAACGTGCAAAAAGGACTCTCCTGAGATGGGCATGTCCGACAGTACCTGGAAGTACTCTTTCGGCAAATACCTCGAGCTGCTCTTTTGGAGCAGGGGCCTGCGACTCCATGAAATTACTGGTTGCCCCCATGACCACCACCGCGACCACATTCGCTACTTTCACTACCGCGATACCTGGGTGAGGATCCACTACGATCCTATTGACCTCCTCGAAATCATTGTTCCAAGAGCTCGGATCACGTGGAAGGTCGAGAACGACCTCAAGCTCAAGAACGAGATTTTCAACAAAATTGAGGAACGTTGGGCTCGCTTCATCAACTCTGTCAAACTCAGACTCAAGAGCATACGCATTGACAGTGTCTTGCCCGAAAAGGCCGATGCGTGTAAAGCCGAAGTTGACAGACTTGCCAAAAAGGCGCAGGACGATCAAGTTGCTTTGATACGCAGACTTCAGGAAACCTACGTTAACTCCAAGTACTATGAGGTTATCCCGTTCAATGCTATTGTTAGGGAGATGCTGGAAAAGGCTGGTGACTGGGACGCCTCGTTTACCAAATTCGAGACCGACTTCCTCCCCGATAAGGACTTGCGTCAGTTGACAATGATTCAACTCAAGAAGATTTTCACCGACAACGAGTCGAGAGAGTCTCTGCCCTCAACAGATGGCAACTCAACCGTGGATTCCGGAGAGCCTCCTTCCCAAACTTTCTCTGATGCAGACGAGAAGGTTTCCACCCAACCTACGGATCCAACTGAAGCGAATCCGGATGGCGTTGCAGGGCCACTCGAGGGTGAGCAAGAAAAGCAGGAAGAGCCCGAGCGAGAGGGGCCGAACGAAGAAGAACCTCTCCCAGCGTCAGATCCTGAAAAGGAACTAGAACAAGCCGAAACGAAGGATGAACTAGTTAGCGGAGAAGCACTAGAGTCGTCCTCCTCGGAAGCTAGCAAGATTAGCACTCCAGCCGATGCTGTGCTGGAAAGGGTAGAACCCCTAGACTTGGCCTCCTCCAGCTCACCGAAAGCTAAAGGGCTCTTTTCCTTTGCTCCTATCGATGAGACCGGAGAGACGTCAGCAACAACGGCCAATGCCGAGTCGACACCTGCCCTTGCGGCCAGGCCTCCGCTCACCACAGCATCAACCAATATTTCACTCTCCGAGAAGGTCGAGCAGCTTCGTCGTGAACATCAGGTTATGGGTGCCGAAACGTCACAAGCTGGCGAGCCATATGAGGCAACAAAAGCGAACCCGGAACGATCTTTGGCTCGTAGGGCTCCGATGATAAGAACTCTGTCGCAACCTGCCCAGACGCTACCAAGGTCCCAGTCGAGCTTTTCCAAATCAATCGTGGCGAAGGACACCATAGGAGCCACCGAGACCTTGGGTGAAACATCATTTAAGGTGGACAAGAAACCGTTCGACCGACTGGCGTTGGGAATGAAAAGCCATAGAAAAGCTGGTCCCTCTTCAATTCCTCGGCTTATCACCAAGAAGAAAGACACACACGTGTCGTCCCAGGTCTCTAGGATTGCCCGTCATTTTGAACAGTTGAGCCGCGAGTTCGAGAAGGAAAGACAACGGGAAGACCGCAGGAAGCGCCTTGCCAAGGGCCATCAACCTCGTGCAGGTTTACCACGCTCAGCCACCAAGGCTATTGTTGAGGTCTACCACAACATTGACAATGCCGTACAAGAACCTGGACCATCGAACACAGATCACAACAGTGAGATCAAAATCCTCGAATCCAAGACAGCGCCAGTCACCCCAGCGGCTCCAGGAACTGTGCAAACGGAACCCGACATGATGCCATCGAGCGAAGAGCTTCACCCTGCACCAGAAGCTCCTCCTCCAGCAGAAGAGCACCAGGTCGGCGGGGAGACAGATGATACTGCAACTGTCACTGCTAGCCACGGCGGATCCGATGACGAAGGGCAGAGCGACACTGAACAGTCCATTCTGGATGATCTGTTGCCTGACGTTAAGGAGCTGGCTGACTCTCTCGAACCCAGCACGGAGATTCCTCTAGAACTGCCGAAGCATCAGAAAACTAGCCTGATGAAGATGCTCACTAACTTCTGGGCTGAACGATCTGCCAGTGGCTGGCCTCAACTGGACTACCCAGTCAACGCAAGCGATCACATATTCCTCGATTCCGATGTGATTGTGAGGGAGGACGAACCTAGTTCTGTCATTGCGTTTGCCCTGAGTTCCGATGACTACCGCACGAAGCTGGCTGATATTCGACGCCAAGAGCGAATGGCGATGCAAAAGGATCATGAGGCCAACTTCGACGGCAAATCGTCAGGAATGTCCGATACTGGCGGCGAGTTCGTGATGGAAGAGGGCGAGCTGGAGAAGAGCCTTCTCAGAGCAACTGGCACACATTTGAAATACCAGTTCAAAGAGGGATCTGCAACCATGCTCTGCAAGATTTTCTATGCTGAACAGTTTGACGCGCTGCGTCGCAAATGCGGTGTGGCAGATCGCATAGTTGAGTCTCTTTCTCGCTGTTTGAAATGGGACTCCAAGGGCGGCAAGACAAAGTCGGTCTTCCTCAAGACTCTCGACGACCGCCTGGTTCTAAAGGTAAGAGACATTCTTTTCCTTTATCATTTGTCTAAAGGCCCTCGTTTACTCTGTCGAGAATGCATTTGATAGCTAACTATCCACATAGGGATTGTCACCCATTGAGACGTCGGCTTTCCTCCGATTTGCACCAGCTTACTTTAGCATTATGGCCGAGGCTTTGTTCCATGACCTGCCTTCCGTCATTGCGAAGATGCTGGGTTTCTTCCAGCTAATCATCAAGAACCCAGTCACGGGCGTCGAGATCAAGTTGGATTTGCTGCTCATGGAGAACCTGTTTTATGATCGTGGTCCGACTCGACTTTTTGACCTCAAGGGTTCCATGCGCAATCGCAAGATTCAATCCACTGGTGAGCAGAACGAGGTTCTTCTAGATGAGAACATGGTGGAGTTCATTTACGAATCGCCATTATTTGCGCGTGAGCACTCCAAGAAGCTCCTGAGAGCCTCCGTAAGTTGCCAGAATCAAATGTCGGAGAGTGAAGCGCTGATAGTTGTCTAGGTCTGGAACGATACTTTGTTCCTCGCAAGACAAAACGTCATGGACTACTCATTGATGATTGCAGTAGACGAGGCCAGGAAGGAGCTGGTCGTCGGCATCATTGACTGTATCCGGACGTACACATGGGACAAGAAACTCGAGAGTTGGATCAAGGATCGTGGGTTCGCTGGCGGTGGCAGAAACCGTCCCACCGTGACGAGTCCGAAAGAGTACAAATCTCGTTTCCGGGAGGCGATGGCCAGGTATGTATCCACGAGTCTCCTCCAAGTGTTGAGGGCCATCAGCTTACATGGTGCCAGATATATCCTCCAGGCGCCAAATTGCTGGCATCAGTTCGGTGTGCCTCAACTTAACAACACCATGAGGCCACGGTTCGAATCAGAAGCCAATACCGAGATATAATATTAGCACCCATTGGTAGCGAAGAGTACAAGACAGGGATAAGCCTGATGAGATCGGTTACTGGGTGTGGCAGGGAGTGAGAACTGCATAGCATTGCTGGCGTTTTTTCCATATAATAAAGACGGATGGATGGATGGATGGATGAGAACGGAGTCGGTCCAGTGTTAGCAACGGTTGGCACCTTGAGCCTCACCAAAACAAAGTATCTTAGCGTTACGGCGTTGACGAGTAACGGCCTTGAAATTCAGATACCCGGTAATGACTTGAACAACCGCTGAAAGATTTTATCGCATGTGAAGGAGATGTCCATGACAAGGCTTCCCATTTGAGCTACGCAACAATGATAATTGGCTTAGGATTTTGTCGCGTCACTGATGCTGGGGGAGAAAGCGCTGTAATTGCACTGCTTAACAAGCATTGATAGCCCACTAGAAACTGGGTATAGCGCTCCTGGTCACCGACACAGCCTTTAGCTAGGTGCTCGGCCTACTCTGTTCAATTCTCAACCAGGTTCCAGACCCAACCCTGTCCGTCTAACACGTTATTTGTATCAACGGATACGAACTCCATCTCACTTTTCTTCACTCACACAATACAGTTGTAATGTCAATAGACCTCAACTGGGAGACGCTCACAACGGGCCCCGACGGGGAGGCCCTAGCCCTCCGCATCCGCGACTTCATCCATACGAAATTCCAGGCCGTACCCTTGCCGCGCTTCATCAAGTCGGTCAAGGTACATGACTTCGAGTTCGGCGCCATCGCCCCGGAGCTGGAGCTCAAGGACATCACCGACCCCCTGCCGGACTTTTACGAGGACAACTCCGACATTGAGGATGACGAGGACGAGGAGCAGGCCCTCGATGAGCCGCCCCAGCTGCAGCACTTTCCCAAGAGCGAGCTGAGCGCGGGCGAGAGGAGGAGGCAGCGCGAGGAGGCGTCGATGCCGCCGAGGCTCAGCACGCACGCCCTCAGGGGCCAGTCCGGAGACTTTCCCAGCCCGTTCCTGGGTGTCTCGACGCCGGGGATCTTGGGCGGCACGTCCAACCTGCACTATTTCCAATCGCATCTGGGGACGGGGTGGTCGGGGACACAGACGCCCCTCGCCGCGGTGGCCGGCGCGCACATGGGCAGCAGGCTCGACTCGTCGGCCGCCGGGTCGCCCGTGGGCTCGCCGCCGATGGGCCACAGCCGGAACCCGTCGCAGAGCTCCATCTCGGTGAGCGACTTCAACCCGGCGCTGGCGCAGCTGCGCGAGAAGTCGAGCGTGTCGACGCTGGCGCCGACCTCGGTGGGGGCCTCGAGGCCACCGACGAGGGACACGCACCTGGCCGGGTCGGCGATCCAGGAAGAGAACGAGGAGGGGCCAGACCACGGGGGAGAGGAGGACGCGCCGCGGTTCAGGGAGCCGAGGCCGGAGGACCTGCAAGCCGTGTTTCGGATCCGGTATGCCGGGGACGTGAGGCTGCGGCTGACGGCGGAGATCCTGCTGGACTACCCGATGCCGAGCTTCGTGGGGATCCCGGTGCAGCTGAGCGTCACGGGGTTGACGTTCGACGGGGTCGGGGTGATGGCGCACATCCGCAAGAGGATACACTTCTGCTTCCTGAGCCCCGAGGACGCGGTCACGGCGGTGGGCGCGGACGACGCAGGCCCCAGCGAGCCGGGCAAGCGGTTCGGTGGGCTGCTGCAGGAGATTCAGGTCGAAAGCGAGATTGGGCTCAGGGACGGCGGGAAGCAGAGTCTGAAGAACGTCGGCAAGGTGGAGAGGTTCGTGTTGGAGCAGGTGAGGAGGATATTCGAAAACGAGTTTGTGTATCCCAGCTTCTGGACGTTCTTGGTCTAAGAAAGGCTCTGGGCTCACTATGGTACACTTCACAAGGGACGGGAAAAACATAGTCATTGGGGGTTTGGAGAGCAGGTAAACACAAAAGCTGTTGCGAATTCGCTCTATATTGGTATCTACCTTCAAGGATGGACAGCTCAATCTGCGTGATGGCTTGTTCTACGTCAGAGTACTCTTGAACCCCTGGTAAGCCTGCTGGATGTCCATCTCGAGCTCGCGGGCCTGCTGCTCGCTCAGCTCGTCCGTGGCCTTCATCTGGTTCAGAGTGATGAGCCACTGTACGATCTTGCCCCTGTTATCGAAGTCGCGGTCCGTCACCTTGTTGACCGACTGGATGACGTCGGACAGCAAGGGGTGCAGCTGGTCCTTGGATAGCAGGCCCAGCTTGACTGCGTCGAGGAAGGTGATGAACTCCTGCGTCGCCTCCAGAATCAGCGTTCCGCTTGTGTTACCGGCGGCCGACGATGCCGGGGCGGCGCTTGAGGAGGCGGTCACGGTTGTCGAGGGCATGCCAACGCGGATGCGCTCCGTTGCGCGGGGGACCTCGAGCTGGGTTGGGTAATAAGGTCAGCCTCAGAGCAGGACAAGGTAATGTGATTGCAAGGGGGGACGACTAACATCCCACTCCGCCTTGAATTCCTCCAGGCCCTGGAAGGCCTTTGCTACGGTCTCATCTGCCAGAATGGACTTGTACTGCTTCAAGGACCGCTCGCAGATCTCGGTGTAATCGGCTTCGGGGATCGCATCTTTGAGAAAGGCTTTTTCGAGCTCGTCAAGGGTGACAATGATGCTAAAGATCTCGGCGAGCGAGTCCTGCAGATCGCGCTCGGCGCGGGTGTCGGCTAGCTTCACCTCCTGTCGAGATGCATCGTCGTGTTAGCCGGGCTGGAGTCGTCTTTGCGGGGGCGGGGCAGCTGGATGAGGAGAGGATGTGATGCGCTGGCTGGAGGGTCGGGGGACTTTGGATGGCATACCTCATCAAGATTGATGGTAGCTGAGAGCGTTGTGTTTGGGATGTAGCTATGCGGTGTAGGCGCATAGGGTTGCCGGGGCATCATCTTCGCGACTGTGTTGGTGTCGCGGCCGGCTTCATGGTCGATCGGCAGCTTGGGAGCTGTCGAGCTTCCAGCGGGTGCAGGCGTATCGCAGAGCCAAGGACGTCAGACGGCGTGACATGGGTGTGGAGGTTCCCATTCCTCAGACTGCAGTGGTGCTGAGACGTGGGGCAGTCGCTCGAGAGCCAGTCCAAAACAGGATTAGCGGACGAACCGATAAGCTCCGATAAGCCAGAAAATTTTTGGGCGAGAGCCAGCGGTTCTCTGCCATTGAGAGAAAGTCTGAAAGTTTCCCGCGTCCACTGTCAACGGTCCCTGCAGCCAAAACTTCCTTCACCATCCACCGCAGGAGACCCCCAAACAGAACGGAACCTTGCCCTCCACACCGTTCACCATGGGTTCCCAAAAGAAGAACCTCAAGGCGACGAAGAAGTTCGAAAAGAACCACTTGAAGGGCGTTTTGGACAAGAGGAAGGAGTCCGCAAAGGTCAAGCAGCGCCTCCAGGTCAAGGCCAAGAAGCAGTCGAAGAAGACCAAGGATTCCGAATTCTTCAAGAAAGATGAGGCCGCCGCCAAGGCAAAGGCCAATGGCCACCAGAAGGACGCCAAAGTCAGCGCCATGAGCGTTGACGACTTCTTCCAGGGCGGCTTCGAGGACATCATCGACAAGAAGGACAAGAAGGACAAGAAGAAGCTCGGCAAGCGGAAGCGCGATGCGCCTGCGGGAGAAGGATCCGACTCGGACTCGGACGACTTCTCTGCCGAGGAGCAGCCCGTCGCCAGCGACAGCGAAGACGCCGGCAGCGAGGACGACGACGAGAACCTAGGCATGACCAAGGAGGCCATGGACAAGCTCGCCGAGAACGACCCCGAATTCTACAAGTTCCTCAAGGAGAACGACCCGGAAGCCCTCGACTTTGACGAGAACGCCGACCTTGCTGAGGTGGACGAGCTCAGCGCCGGTAGCGACCACTCGGACGACGACGAGCAACCAAAGAAGAAGCGCAAGAAGGACGCTAAGAAGAAGGCCGCCGCTGAGGAGGAGGAGGCCCTTGTCGACAACGAACTCACGCGTGAGATGGTTTCCAAGTGGAAGAAGTTGATCGAGGAGAAGCAGAGCTTGCGCGCTGCGAGACAGGTCGTTCTGGCCTTCCGCTGTGCGGCCCATCTCAACGAGGACGACGCCGACGACGAGAAGACGCAGAGATATACCATCTCCAGCCCCGAGGTCTTCCACGACATCTTGATCGTTGCCCTCAAGCAGATCCCGGAGATCATCTCTCACCATCTGCCCATTAAGGAGTCTGCGTCCGGCAAGATCTACGTGCCTACCGACTCGAAGAAGTTTCACACACTGTCCATCATGATCAAGACCTTCACTGCTTCCATCATCCACCTCCTCAGCACCCTGTCCGACGACGCGACCCTCAAGCTCACCATTGGCTCATTAGAGCCCCTGGTCCCCTACCTGATGTCCTTCAGAAAGCTTCTCAAGGCTCTCATCAAGACTGTTGTCAACTACTGGGCCAGACCGGCCAGCTCAGAAACCACCAAGATCACCTCCTTCCTTGTCCTGCGGAAACTCGTCGTCATTGGCGACAAGGGTATCCGCGAGACAGTTCTTAAGGCTGTGTACCAGGGACTCGTTTCCGGCTGCAGAGCAACAAACATCAACACTATCCAGGGCATCAACCTGATGAAGAACTCCGCCGCAGAGTTGTGGGGTATCGACCAAAATGTCGGCTACACGACCGCCTTCACCTTCATCCGCCAACTCGCCATCCACCTGAGAAACAGCATCGTCAAGAAAGAAAAGGATGCCCACAAGATCATTTACAACTGGCAATACACCCACTCGCTCGACTTCTGGTCATGCGTGCTTGCCGAGCACTGTAGTCCCTTGAAGGAGGCGGAGGCGGGTAAGGAAGGCCAGCTGAAGCTCCTGATTTACCCCCTTGTGCAAGTCACGTTGGGTGCGATGCGCCTCATCCCCTCGCCTACCTTCTTCCCTCTCCGATTCCATCTGATCCGCTCCATCCTCCGTCTGTCACGCGCAACCAACACCTACATCCCTCTCGCATCCGCCCTCATTGAGGTTCTCGAGTCGGCCGACATGAGACGTTTCCCCAAGGCCTCGTCCATCAAGCCCCTCGACTTCAACGTTGCGTATAAGGCGCCCAAGTCGTACCTCCGCACACGCGTCTACCAGGACGGCGTTGGTGAGCAGGTCGTTGAGCTCTTCAGCGAGTACTTCACCATCTGGGCCAAGAACATTGCGTTCCCCGAGTTCACGCTGCCGGTCCTCATCCAGCTGAAGCGCTGGGTCAAGCAGGCGCGTAAGATCAGCACGGGCAACAAGAACAACAAGGTCATCTCACAGATTGTGCTGCTGGTACAGAAGCTCGAGGCCAACGCCAAGTTTATCGAGGAGAAGCGTGCTAAGGTAGAGTTCGCGCCCAAGGACCGCGCGCAGGTGGACGCCTTCCTGCGCGACTTTGACTGGGAGAAGACGCCCCTCGGCGCCTTCGTCGTCGTGCAGCGCAAGATCAGAGAGCAGAAGGCCAAGGCGCTCGAGGACGCGAGGAAAGAGGACGAGAAGAAGCGCAAGGAGGAGGAGAAGGATGCTCTTGCCGCGAATGCGGAGGACGAGTCTGAGGAGGAATATGCCGACGAGCTAATGGATGACGAGGCGGAGGAGGTGGAGGAGGATGACGACGACGAAGAGGAAGATGATATGGAAGACGATGAAGAGTAAACTTGTGCGGCTGTCGAGAGATGAACAAGATATAAAAAAAGTGGTTTTACGGCGTCGTCCAAGTACGCTGGTGTTCTGGTATATATCATGGAGGCTGCAGGGCCCCTCAATCCAAGCGTCCTTGTTGTGGCGATTGGCGTTTTTGACAAGTGAACATCTGCTTTTCCCTTCATGGCTCACGCCAAGGCAGCTTCGTTGGCCAACTGTCCGTTGTGTGAAGACGACTGAACTTCTTCAGGCCGTTTGCAGACGAAAGTGACGTTTACCCAAGAATGATGCAAGATGGAGACAGACGTTGGCACGGACCGAGAACAACTCGGGCAGGGGGCTGTAGCTTACATCAATACGCACCTAAATCTTTGGCGGATGCGCTTATAGGGGGCTTCAATTAAAGCACAAGCAGCCGAACGTTCCTGGTGATCCTTCCAGTAAAGTAAACGCCTGCCTAGACAACCCGGAGCCAACACCTGACCAACATCCACCCCTTCCCGTGACTCAACTACACTTCATCTCACGTGTCCTCATTCCTCGAATCCTCCTTTTCCTTCGCAGCAGCACGGCATTTTGGTATCGGAGCATCTCAACAATTTGATTACTCTACTGACAAGGCCTCATTGAATGTGAGCCATCGCAGCCATGACTCCCCTTGTGGCAGATCCCCGCCAGCTCGTGGTGGTGCTCAACCCTGCCCGCCGCAAAGCGTTCTATACCCTTCTGTACGATATTACGGGCTATATGCGCTCCCAGCTCGAGCTTAAAGACGGCAACCAGAACGCCTCGTCAACTGCAAACCCGGCCTCGCCATCGCTTCAGGACCGCAACGCCCCGCTCTTCGTCCCGGACGCCGACCAGGGCGGTCGCAGCAGCAGCCCCAGCCACCCGGATCGCGGAGGCTCCGGTGTGCACAGCGCCCAGCTCCGGATCCTAAGGAGGGCGGCGCTGAAGCACTTTGACGAATGGCGCAAGGACGTTCTGGAGAAGGTCAAAGAGATTGCATCGGCTAGAGACGATGACAAGATCCTTGAGGCCCGGAAGAAGCGACTCGAGGAGATGGAGAAGCTGCAGCATGAGTCTCCGGGGGTGGGTGAGGATCTGATCAACTTTGGAGACGCGCCAAAGGCTGCATCGACCGAAGTCAACAAGGAGGTGGCCATTCTGCAGGAGCACTATCATCCGATTCCCAATCGATTCACTACCATCTCGGTAGAGGACAGGAAAGAGGTTCTCAGCTGCCTTTTGGTCCTCGTCCTGTCTACTGGAAGCTACTCTGCGCACTCTAGAGTTTTGGCTCTGTACCTCACATCTGCCTTTGGGCTCCCGTTGTCAACACTCATTTCAGAGGAGACGGAGATCGCCAAATCCCTGGTTGAGTCATCGACTTCGACTGAGAGCCAGAAGGCTAGCATGTCGGCTGAGGCCGAGGCCGCGAAACGGCGCCAGGAGAACCAGAAGAGCCGTTTCTGGAAAGTCGGTCTGGCTTCGGTGGCCGGTGCCGCTGTGATCGGAATCACGGGTGGCTTGGCAGCCCCAGTCGTCGCAGGTGCGATCGGTGGCCTCATGGGAAGCGTCGGACTTGGTGGCGTCGCCAGCTTCCTTGGTGTCTTCTGGATGAATGGTGCCCTTGTCGGCACACTCTTTGGTGCCTTTGGCGCCAAGATGACAGGCGAAATGATGGACACCTACGCCAAAGAGGTCGAGGACTTCCGCTTCATCCCGCTCAAGGACGAATGGGGCCAGGACTATAAACGAGCCGACCCCGACGGCAAGCAGGGGGCACGGCTTCGCGTGACTATTGGTATCAATGGATGGCTGAATGAGGAGGGCGACGTGACGAAACCCTGGCGCAGCTTGGGTGACGAGTCCGAAGTCTTCGCCTTGCGGTATGAGATGAAGTCACTCCTTGCTCTCGGTCGAGAATTGGACAATCTCGTGTCCTCATACGCCTGGAGCTTTGTCAAGGTGGAAATCCTCAAGCGAACCGTCCTTGCCTCCCTGTGGGCTGCGCTCTGGCCTGCCTACCTCATTAAGGCTGCTTCGCAGATCGATAACCCCTTCAACCTAGCCCGCAACCGATCCGACAAGGCTGGCCGAGTGCTTGCTGATGCTCTTATTGCCAAGGTACAGGGAGAAAGGCCCGTTACGTTAGTGGGCTACTCGCTTGGTGCACGCGTCATTTACTCATGCCTACGCTCTCTGGCTGAACGGCAGGCGTTCGGTTTAGTCGATACCGTGGTTCTCATTGGCGCCCCGGTGCCGTCCAACAGAGAGCACTGGCAGGTTCTCCGATCCGTGGTATCCGACCGCATCGTGAACGTGTACTCGGAGACAGACTACATCCTTGGATTCTTGTACCGCACAACATCCCTTCAGCTGGGAATTGCGGGCCTGCAGGAGGTCAAGGACATTGAAAGAGTCGAGAACCTGAACCTGAGCGAGGAAGTCAGCGGGCATCTCCGCTATCCTGGCTTGATCGCCAAGATCCTGACGCGGTGCGGCTTTCCCAACGTCAGGGACGGCGCTGGTGCCATAGAGAAGGACGAAGACATCAAGATCACCGACGAGGAGGCGGGGTCGCAGATGGGCGAGCTTATGCAGCTGGATGCCCAGCCTGATCCGGAAGCAGAGCCGCAGCCGATCAGGTCTAAGCAGACTGCGAGGTTCCCGAATGAGCTACGGCATCCGTTGCATCCTGATCCGCCTCAGCGGAAGAAGGTGCCGAATCGCAACAAGGTGTCCAGAGGGGGTGCGGCCTCAGTCTCGCAGGCCTCTGATCCCCTAGGATCCGAGGGCGGTGACCCGTTGAACCTGAGTTCTCTAGGTCAAGCCAAGAAGAAGCCATCTTCTCCTCACCACGAAGATCTACTTAGTCTGAGCTCTCCACCTCTAGAGAAGCAGGAGCCGAGCAGTTCCAAGACCGCCGACCCCCTTAACCTGAGCTCCCTCGGCCAAAAGAACGAGGGGCATTTCTCCTCCGAGGTTGCGGGTAAGGATGGAGTGCAACAGAAGAACCCGGAACTTCCTCCTCGACCTGTCGCAGTTCAATCGTTCCAAAGCGACGGCGCCCTGGACACACATCACCATCGTCCGGAACTCCCGATTAGACCCAAGACTTTCCCGGTGCCAGTCCAGGAAGAGGATTCCGATAGCGATAACGAGAGTTTCAAGGGGATTCAGTTGGTCGACAATGATGGCTCGGGGGATATGATGAGCTACTCGAAGCCCTTGAGGGCTGACGAATAGAGTAGAAAATAGTTTAGAAGCACACGGTGAACCCGCTGCATGGGAATACAGTACCTTATTGTTCGGTCTCGTTCAAAAAACTGGGTATCATGAAGTCAACTTATGGGCGTTGCGGGCCGTGAAGCATGATAGCGACGGTCAGCTTGCCAACGAACCACGACTAAATGCGCAACCTGCGCATATGCCTCAGGCTTCGCGAGAACGGAGCGGCCAGCTTGTATAGCTAGGGATATCGGACTCCTAAACTACGCGTGTTGAGACTCCCGGCATCGCATCCGATACAGGAGCTGCTCTCGTCTTCCATCCAGCATCGATCGCAGATATATAGCCCGTCTTCTGATGTAACCAAAAAGGCCTAGAAGTCCAAATATAGAAACAAAATCACAGATTCATAGAATCCGATGCTTCGGCCTGGTTGATATCCGCATAATCCACGAAATGCCCCAGAAAATCCTCGCTTGGAGGTTTTTTTTGGTTTTTTTTTTTGCGTGCTGCTTAGTCGGAATATCCCACAGACGGTGGGCACAGACGCGGGGTTCATGCTCCATGAGACGAGCAAGCGGACCAGAACGGCCACGCCGGTGGAATAGTGGAACAGCTTGGGGGGCGCGGCTGGGCCACCCCATGAATGATATGTCCTCCCGCATCACCTACGCCCTGCTTCGTCTCATCACCAAGACCGCCATTCGCGATGCGGCATGACTTCCGCTTCGCGCAGTTGCCGCGTTGTCAAGCGGGGAGAGCGTGCTTCCGAAGACTCCGACGTTGGCTCAATCCTGGAGATGCGCATTGCCGAACCGAGTGAACACGAAGCCAAAATTGCACATGGACAGAATTATCGAGTGCATCGAGACCAGCCCGACAAACGAATCATCGCTGTGTACGAGACAGGCGTTCCCGCGATGTGTAAAGCTGTGGTCGTGTGCTCAGGACACTGGCGTGAGTGCTCTGGGCTTACTGTAAGCCAGCCGACATCAGCATTACGCAGCGCATAGCAAGCAAATTAGAGATAGTGGAAAGGGGCAGGGTTTCGCGTTTTCATTTTTCCTTTTATCAGCCTGCAGACACAATCACAGGCCTGATCAGATGTGACTAAGCAGGACCCTTCCAAGTACAAAAGGGGGCTCTAGTCAGATACTATCACAGAGATCGGGATCTCATCACGAAGCAGACAGAGAAGCTTGACATCTTTAGACAGGCACTTAGACAGACACGGACGAATTCATCACTTTGATATCTAAACAAGACGTGTAATAAGTGACTGTTGCTTTGTTTCCTTAGGCCTGACTAGACCTCTAAGGTCTAGGAGGGTATCCTCCTCCTCCAGAGATCACGACACACACATGCGTACCACTTAGCAACAAGGGCAAATCCGAACAGACTGCAAGACGTGAAGGATACACTTTTCTGGTTTGCTCATGGCCCTGATCAGGCCAAGGAGGACCTGAAAAGAGTAGTATCTCACGGTCTAGGCGTTGGGGTAGTCACTTGGGGTAATCGGTCACTCCAGGTGCACTCGTGACGATACTGGGACCTTGGTGTTTGGTGTGGTTTGTGTGTCAACTGCCCACTTGCTGGCTTCCTTTATCCCACGCAGTTTCAATGGTGCCTCGTGGCGGAATCGAACCGCCGATCTTCTCATTGTTTTATTTCGATTACGCGACAAATCCGATATCAGTACCTCGAAAATAGCTTCAACCAACAGAACATATCATCGAAAAGATATGAAGGAAACGATATCCTCGACCTGATCAGACTCAGTCCCAGACGTGGGAGTGAGCCTGACCCTGAGAAACCGCAATGGACAAGACCCAAGAAAAGCGGGATTCTTCGAAAAAGCAAAGAAACGAACGACCAGCCATGACGACACAATACGGCCAGACAAACCTTCCGCGTGGGCGATCCTTTTGTGGGCAAGCACTGAGCAAGCCCAATCGGAGAAAGGAGCCCGCAAGACGTGAGAGGAAGAAGAAAAACGATAAGATAAGAATGATACCTTCTGCTGGGATCAGTGAGCTAAGAAGCTCTCTCAGCGTAGGTTACGGAATGATCACGACCACGAACCAAGCCCAGAACTTCTCGAGATCTTGTTATCATGCAAGCCTCGGTCTGATCAGGTTCGACATTGCGCTATTAACGGAGACTAAACGTCTCAGCGTTGATGGATCGGCAGCAATGGAAATTCAACGTTCCTTTAGGATTGGCCTGGACTTGACGAGCACCCCCTTTGGAAACTCAATCAAGGACGCAGTAAACCAATGCCTTATAAGAACATATGAAATACTGCTCCCAAGTCTGATCAGGTTGACAGACTGGGCCAGGCAGCAACTCCGAAGAGATTTTACGCGCAGCACCCCAAGATCAATTCAGAGTGATCGATACCATTTACACTTCCCACAACTGGCCTGCCAGGATATCAGCAACATGTCTGAGCCGACCCCATCAACGACCGACACGGGGCAGCTCGGAGGTCTGACTGATCAGGCAGCCTCATTCGCCGGTGAAGCTTTCCAGAGTTACCGAGGCCCTGACGACAATGTGGACACTGAGTCTGAGACCGGTCCTGGGATTCCCAACTTCGGAACCACCAAGAGAAGCGAGGGCAAGGACCCAAGCTCAGGCTATCGGCAGTACAAAGGGAGTCCTGATCAGGCCGGCGAGGACATAAGCCCTTCCCCTGATCTGGCACCAGACTCCCTTACTGCGGCAGACTTCCGGGCCCAGCAACTCTTGATGGCGAACCTATTAACAATGGTCAACGCAAGCATGACCAAGGACCAAGGGTCTGTTAAGCCTGATCAGGGCGGGACAGATTACCTGCGTCGGTCAACCATCAAGATGCCACCGCCGGACACCAAAGGGGCCCCCACCTTTGATGGCTGTAACATCACCGATTTCCTTGACAAGTATGAAGCCTTGACTGGGCTTGCTGGTTACTCTGACAAAGAGAAGACAAAAGCGTTGCCATGGTACTTACCTGATGAACACCGAGCAACGGTGAAGATCAAGGCTGAAAAGGAGACTTGGCAAGAACTAAGCAAGTTCCTTCTTGACACTTACGGACAACTCGACGAAGAAGTCATCCTTCAACCGAACCGCCGCATCAAGGACCTTATGAAGGGAGACTTGATCAGGGACGATAACCTGACAGAAACTGCAACTTTGTTTCAGAAGGTTGAGAGCGTAAGAGAAAAGGCAAAGGCTAAAGGGAAGCCTGTGATGGGCGCCCAAGAGCTGATTGAGCTTTTTGCTATGCGATTTTCCGAAAACACGATTATGGCAGTGTCCTTGCAGATGGGACTTTCCCCTGCTGATCTGTTTGAGAGAGGGAACTTCAGCGCCTTCAAGAGGGCAATGCTCGCATGGGTGGGACAGAAGTCAAGATACAAGGGTCATTACGGAGATTCTGACACTTCTGCCTCCTCCTCATCAGCTACGGTTCCCTATTCCTCAAAGCGGCCTTCCAGCCCTGATCAGGTCAAAGGTACACTCCCTAAGAAGTCTGCTTTCAAAGACATCAAAGTTACGACTGATCCTGCTATGGACGAACTTTCGAAAACAGTAGCAGCCCTTACACTCGCTGTAAAAGCCAGTCTTGAAGCCCAGACTATCTCTAACAGTCAACCCATGGTTGCACGTAGTTATAACGTCTCTGCATCCGGTCCTCCACGGCTATATACACCACCAGCTCGACAACCGTCCTCCTTCAGCAAGCCAGGTTTTGTTCCAGGCCATCCTGATCAGTGTTGGTATGATGCATGCGACCAAAGAAGGTATTGGATGTGCCCGCAACTCAAAAAGGACAAAGAGGCCAACCTGATCATGTTGGACCACGACGTCTACAAGTATGGGGTACTTCGAGGATCGAACGTTGAGGTAAACGAAGTTCCTGATGTTGTTATCTGGGAAGCCCGCAAAAACTACCAGCCTGACCGGGTTACTATCCTCACCCATGTGGCGAACAACACCTTGTTCCCAGAAGCCGCAAAAGCAGCAAAACGTATGATTGACCAGGGTGTTGGACGTCCCTTTCAACCTGAGATACAGTGCTACCCACCGCTGTACACCCAAGACGCCCGGGTGAATCTTGTCAAATGCGTCTCAGTATCCCCTAAGACACACGCCGAAGTCTTCCTAACTCAAGGAGCAAAAGTGAACGCGGTTACCAGGTCATTGGACACAATGCCGCGACCTATTCTGCGCCGCCCTGATCAGGCAAGGCCCCATTCAGTACGCCAAGGCTTTGTTTCGAAAAACATGCATCGAAGAGGGAGCACTTCCAGCACTGGCTCCCAGGCTGAGGAAATGAACATAGATGCCCGTGCCCAGACTCCTCCGCCGACACAACCTACCGGTCCAGTGCACCCTGATCAGGCCTATCAGACTCCTGAAAGTTCAAGGTCCCCTTCTGTTCAAACTGTACCAGCGGGTGAACACGCCAGCTTCGCATATGGCCCAGGATATGCTCAAGGAGCTGCCGAGGAGAGTTCTATCCCAGATCAGCTAGAGATAATGGACCGAGCTGCATCTGCTCAAGCCATTGCCAAGAAATTTGGAGGGAATATTACTATTCCCTTCGAAGTTGCGCTTCGAGTCTGGCCTCAGCTCAACCAGGATGCGATGGTAACGATACGCCAGATGCTAGACAGCAATGGGTATTCGGACATCTACCTAGAGGCTCCCTCTGACCTGATCAGGGAGGTGAAACCATACGAAAGATCAGGAGCCCGCGAGGCAATCGACAGATATAACAGAGACGTCCCGAACCTTATGAGCGGAACTGCCAAGGTCAGACTTATCAAGACGCTTGACTTGACCACCATTGAGTCTATTGTTCCGCACTTTATGATGCCTCACTTTGTGATCAACGTCCGAGTCGGTGGTCTTCGCCCTGATCAGAACGACTTGATCAAGGGTGTCATTGACAATGGTTCACAAATCAACGTTATTTCAAGATCGTACGCAGACAAGCACGCTATCAAGCTTACAACTACGCCGCTTGGGATGAACGCTTTTGATCCCAATTCAGAGCGTGTATCCTTTGACGGAGCAGCTATCGTGCCTGTCTGGGTTGAAGGCCACTGTTTCTTAACCAGCATGTTCGTTGCTGACGATAGAAGGATGAACGAACCACTTCTTCTGGGATCGCCTTTTGGGTTCCATACGCAGATCAACTACGTGTATGGCCCCGACATGATCACGCTGATACTGACAACAGGGCAAACTCGTCTCCATGTCCCGGCCGCATTTCTGAAGTTTGGCAATCCTGGGAAGTTCCTAGATTATCTGCCAGACTGGGACAACTATGTGAGGGCTCTCAAGGACCATCTCCCTGATCAGACCAAGCTGCATCAAGACCAGGAAAACTAGACTCCAGTAACGGTACCAGGACCGTTGCTGGAAAGCTCAAAATTCCTGGACATGAGCTACAAGAGGACGACGAAGAAGTGATCCGGTTATCTGAAAAAGAATCGGATTATCTGGTGAAAATAGCACTGACTACACTCCTTGCCCCAGCTGTGGAGGACGTCTGTAAGACTGCAGCAAAGGTTAGAAGGCACGACAACAAGGGATGTTCTTGCTGCGTTGGAAAGCCCAACCCGCCCCACATCGACACCGATCGTCTTGATCAGGCCTGCCGTCCCAAGGTTTACCTTAACCAGTTGTCAGCGACTATTGGGAAGGTTAAAGCAGAGAGAATCAGGAAGCGGATAGTCAAGCACTTCGACATGATCAACAAAAAGGGAACGCCTTTACCCCCAGAGCAACCGCACAACCGCGAGGTGGATCCGACAAAACATCATCCCCAGCCTGATCAGGCCAAGCGGAATGCAAAGGTATTCACCATGTATAAGGGAAAAGACAAGAAGATACATCCGGTTGACGACCAACCGTCTGACGGATCAACCCCTGACGGCGATCCCCTCTGGAAAGTCAAGAACCTGGCTGAAGCCGAAAAGACAATGCAACCCGATGAGGGACCGTTCCGAGGCCTGATCAGGCCTAAGTATTCAAGTATTGAGCCGTATTCACGCCTCAAGCCAGACAGATTGGCGGCCATCATGGATACACTGGGTCATCTCCTACCCGCGAGAAGGACCTATTCCTCCAAGTCCTTCTGAACCGCGAAAATGCTCTCGCTTGGGACTTCTCCGAAAACGGCGCGCTTGACCCGAAAGTTGCCCCCCCACAGGTGATCAGGACTGTGCCTCACAAAGCCTGGCGAGAAAAGGGGATTCCAATACCCAAAGCGCTTGAATCGCAAGCTATGGACATTATCCGGGTACGAATCGATAAGGGTATCCTAGAAGAAGGTCATGGGGCTATACGAAACCCTTGGTTTCTTGTGAAGAAGAAGGATGGTTCCCTACGCCTGATCAATTCAGCTACTCGGATGAATGGGGTCACGATTCGCGATGCCTTTGCTCCTCCAGGAGCAGAGAATTTCTCAGAAGACTTCGGCATGTGCCAGATTCTCTCACTCTTGGACTTCTTCTCTGGATACGACCAAGTCCCTCTAGCTGAGGAAAGCAGGGATTTAACAACGTTTGCTACTCCCCTTGGACTTCTACGCATGTGCACCTTACCGCAAGGTGGTACCAATTCTGTGGCACAGTTCATGAGAGTTATCACCCGGATACTCTATGACCTTATACCACATTGTTGCCGGGCTTTTCTTGATGATATCGTCATCAAAGGGCCTACAACCACGTACAACGATGAGGAGCTCCCTGATCAGGCCGGCATTCGACGCTACATCTACGAACATATTCGCTACGTCGACATGGTGCTCTTCAATGTCGAGTTGGCAGGCTGCACAATAGCTGGCAAGAAATCACAATGGCTTCAGAGAACGGCTATTATCGTCGGCTATGTCTGCGGTTCTGGAGGTCGCCGCCCTGATCAGGCGAACGTCATCAAGATCAAGGAATGGGAAGAATGCAAAGACATCAGTGAAGTCAGGTCATTTATAGGGATGACTGGGTTCTACAGATCATGGGTCGACAGATACTCGGAGATCACTTTGCCTTTCCAGAAACTCCTCAAAAAGAACGCCACGTTTACCTGGGGGCCTGATCAGGTCAACGCTATGGATACCCTCAAGTCCAAACTAACAACTTCTCCTGTAATCATTTCATTATCCTATGGCCCAGAAGCTGGGTTAGTGGTCATCAGCACAGATGCGAGCCTGCAAGGTTGGGGCGCAGTACTAAGTCAGATGATCGGTACCCAGAGGGCTGTGGCAAGGTATGAAAGTGGTATCTGGAGAGGCGCTGAGTTAAAATACGACTCTGGGAAACTGGAATTGAGAGCGGTTTTGATGACATTGAAGAAACTCCGAAACTACGTCTACGGTATCAGATTTTTGTTGGAAACTGATGCACAGGTCCTAGTTGCTCAGCTCAACGGAGGGTCTCACGATCTTCCTGGCGCCCTAATCACTAGGTGGATTGCTTGGATACGTCTTTTCGACTTTGACGTCAAGCATATACCGGGGACGAAGAATGTGGTAGCGGATGCGCTATCACGAAAAGCACCAGGGCTGTCCGATATCGAGGAATACGAGAGCCCTGATCAGGTTGAAGATTTCATCGACGCCAACCTCTACTTTGTTCGACTGCACGAATCATTCGGAGGATCCAAATCCGGCATTTCAAAGACCTCTCACCTGCATCAACTCCCTGAAGCATGGCTCCGCCCTGATCAGTACTGGACTGACCGAACGAGACAAATCATCTTCCATCTAAAGACACTATTACGCCCAGATGGAATATCACAGCATACTTTCAGGAAGTTCAAAATAGAGGCCTGGTGTTATCTTGCTCGAGATGGCTATTTATACCGCCGACCAACAAAGAGATGCCCGATCCCTAGACGCCTTATTGACGACCCAAAGATTCAGGAGAACCTGATCAGGAACGCACACGTCGAATCAGGACACCGGGGACGCGATGCAACATTCCATCGGCTTTCTGTATCCTATATCTGGAAAGATATGTACCGGAGGGTGCAGGCCCAGCTCGCGTCATGCCCATCCTGTCAGAAGGCTCGATCAACCCGGATGGACGACTGGCACATCGGTACAGTCCCAGGGGAATTACCGTTTACGAAGATATCTATTGATGTCCAGTGGATTGGTTCCTGGGCACTGATCGAGGGACGTTGTGATATGACGGGTTGGCCCGAAGCAAGGAGGGTAAGGACTGTCACCTCTGATCAGGTCGCCGACTTCATCTGGGAAGACTTTTTCTGCCGCCACGGTGTCTGTGGAGAGATGATTGTCGACGGCGGACCAGAAAACAAAGGGACTGTGGACCGCCTGAATGAAAAGTATGGTATCAGAAAAAGGGTTATATCAGCGTATAACTCAAAGGCGAACGGGGTCAATGAACAAGGCCATAAACCCATTGCGCACACCATCTTGACCTGGTCAGACGGAGGAAAAAGAGATTGGGGGAAAATTGTGCCTACTACGCTGTTTGCAGACCGAACGACAGTCCGCGCACCAACGGGCTACACACCTTTCTTCCTAACTACAGGATACGAAGCGATCACACCCATCGAAGAATCTACCTTGACTTGGAGAGTATTAGACTGGGGACGAGTTCGTGACCCTGATCAGGAACTCGCTGCCAGGATACGCTCCTTTGAACAACTTGAAATCGATAGGGAGACTGCAGCCAAGAATGTGGCTCTTGCGAGACAGAAATCTGCGGATTACTATAACGCACGCCATCAACACACAATGCGGTCAGAGAAGCTTCAGCCTGGCGATTTAGTTCTTGTCTTCGACGAGAAACGCGCAATCGACAAATCGAAAGCTAGGAAACTTACATACCGTTGGCAAGGCCCTTTACGAGTCCACTCTGTGTCTGAGAACTCGGCATCGTACCGCCTAGAGACGCTTGCTGGTGACCTTATCACGAGGGCCACATACGCTGGGAAACGTCTCAAGAGATATATCGAGAACGACGCCGGTTTCTGGGAATCGGAGGATCCTGCGTGGGCCAAAGCCAAGCTCAAAGACGAAATAACCCCCTTCTTCCCAGCCCAGGACCACCAAGACGAACTTTGGGAAGTAGACATGGCTCCTAGCCCTGATCAGGACGAAGACATCATGCAGACACGATCGAGGCTTCAACAGCTACGCCTCGAAAAAGAAAACGACACGCTCCGCAGAGAACTAGAGCATTGGAAGTCATCGTCCAGACTTGCGATTGACATCCAACCCAAGGACTCGGCAAAGGACGCGCAGTATACTGACATGACACAGCAAGCCTGATCAGGCCTGCTGTCATATCCTTTCATTTTCCTTTATTAATGTCTACATCGCACTGTCATTTCCATAACATTTCGCACGCATTTCCTTTCACGAAAAGTTCATTGATTCGGAACCCTTATTGCATTCATCAATAAACTTGGGGACGAGGTTATCTGGGAAAGGAAACGCCTGATCAGACCTAGAAACATCCCAGAATCACCCCAAATCCTAAGCCCAAACCACCAAGTCATCAGACAACCCTATATCCCTAGTCCGAATCCTCATCATCACCCTCCGTCTTCCAGTCAATACTATCCTGCACCCAGATAGAGCCATCCAAGATACCAGGCGACTTTCTCTCCTTCTTAGAAAGCCCCTTATACTGATCCTTGATAAGTTTCATAAGGTCAGACCGAAAGAACTGCGTGGAATCGATAGAAGAGATATTGTTAGGAATGCTTGAGGGGACGCCGCCGCCGCTGGCTCTTCGCTCTTTGGTGCCCTTTACCCGACCCATGTATCCAAACTCCTGGTAAAAGTCCTTGTTTCGATAGCAGCATTGGACTTGAGTCTCGTGGTAAAGGCAATTGGAGCATGCATTGCCGAATTCGTTAGGAAGGGAGACGCATTCCCAGAAGGGGACGAAACAGGCGACCTGATCAGGCCCAGCCCGGACAGCCTGCCAACCCTTTTCGCAGCATTCGCAAGGGACAGCATTGCGACCACCAAGGCCATGGACAGCCAAGGCGGCGCCAGCCTGCATGCGACTAGCAAGCTTCCAAGCCAGGGATCCAAAAGCACCCTGATAACCGGCATAGACGAAAACGCGACGCTTGAACAAGCCAGTCTTGGTATGATCTTGGAGGACTTGAAGGACATTGCCTCTTGCGATAGCCTGCCAGAAGGCCTGAGCAACTTTCTTGCGAGTCTGACCATTCTGAATTTCATCGGCAAACTGGACTTCGCAGTAGAGACTACCGATCGGAGACTCGAGTTTTCGCCACACTAAGGAAGTTGCGATCTGTCTGATCAGAGCTATGAACCTTCAACAGGGAGTAGGGGACGACTTACTGTGGCATTGACAGGAGTTATGGCCAGGTAATTGTTTCCAGCAGGAGGGTCGCAAGTAAAGAACCACGGGTTCCAGGCAGCTTCAGGCTTGCGCTTGGGAGGCATGGCGATGTCTGATCAGGGCTGTGGTGAGAAAGTTAAGTTGATTTGTTGAGTGGTTTTGAGTTGCAGAAAAGATGAAGCTTAAGAAGCAACGTGAAGTTGTGTGGAGGAAGAGAAGAAGTGATCTGAAGGAAGATTCCTGGCCTCTTTTTTTTTATCCTGCTAACTACGGCCTGCTTCTTCTAATTCACTGATCAGAGGGAAGGAACTAAGAGAAAAGAAGTGATTCACTGTTGTGAACAGGAAGAAGTTATTCACTTTTGTGAACATTGGGCAGATGAACAACTATCTTCTTTACCTTCCTGTATCCACCTTTTTACTCTTTCTCTTCAGCAACTTCGAATTGCTCCTTCCCTCACAACAAGGTCAAGATTCGTCAGAAACAAAGCTATAAAATAAGCCCAAGAAACCCGCCAACAACAACTTTCACTTTTCCTTCTTCCACCACCACCATCAACTTCAGCCACACAATTTCGAGCCAACCAACAATCAACAACACATTATTCCCTTTTTCTTTTTACTTTCTCACCCTGATCAGACCCATCTACACACATCTACAACTCATCATGTCTTCCTTCCAAGCCGTTAACGTTATCTGGAACGCTCCTGCCGGCCCAGATGGAACCAACAACATGTGGGTTTTGGAGCACTGCCAAACTCTCTTCGAGGAATGCCGCATTCAGAATCTCAGCGACAATCTCCCTGATCCGACTAAGCAAACCACGAACGCCATCAAGATGCCGCAGAAATCACAGCACGCGCATCCCGAAGACCTCAAGCCACTCGAAGGGTTCACAGACCCGGCTACTGAAGACCCTATTACTCCGCTGAGACCTCCCAACTGTCCTGGTCCGTCTGATCAGGGCGACGGACCTGCTCCCATGTGGATTCCGAGTAACAACGCGTCTGCCATAAGCATGATGTATAATCGCTGGGGCAAGGGCTTTTCGCAAGATGGTTCTTGGGGGAAGTGGACAAACAACGAGTCAAAAACCTACCTCCCTGGTATCTACAACGCGGTTGGACATTTGGTTAAGCAGTCTTGGATGGCCTCTGACGATGTCCAAAGTCTTGCGGCATTTGCTGCTCGAGATGCCAAGGTCAATTGCTTTGTTGCCGACAGCCCTCCTTGGAGCCGCGACACCCCTACTGTGACGGCCAGACCTGATCAGAAGGACCGGATTCGAAAGGCGGACTGCCTGGCGTTCGTTACCCATCACATCAATCATTTCACTGCCCTCTTCGTTAACCAAGTTACTGGACGATCTTTCTGGTATGACAGTATGTGGAGAGACGGAGATGCAACCCTTCGGTACGCTATTGATATGGACCGTCTCTGCAAGTTCTATCAGAGCGTCAATGCTGCCCCCAACCTGATCAAGGTGATCCGCATGAAAGCAGGCATTGTGATCGGCCCTCAACAGCCTGACGAGTGGACTTGCGGAATGCATGCAGCGGAATTCATCAGATGCTGCATCCGAGACAACGTTACCAACATCGCAAAGAGTCCGACTTGGACGAAGGTTTGGAACGATAGCAGAGGCAACGTCATTGACCACGTTAACCATTTCTGGCGTCAATGGGTTACTGAAGAGTTCAGTAAACCAGGAAACTACGGCAGAAAGGACCTTCGCAATAAGCCGAGGCTTGTACTGGACAGTTATGACAAGAGACTTCGACAAGAAGCATCCAGCAAGCCTGATCAGACTAAGGAGGACACACCGGAATTCTCTAACACCTTTCCTGGGACTTTTAAGCCCATCAAAAAGACGCCTTCTTCAGCACCTCAAGACGACGATCTCACCAGTCTCTTTGGTTCGATGCGCCCCCCCTCAGATACTGGTGCGCCACAGGACCAGCCAGGCTTCTCTACCACGCCAGCCCCAGAAGGTAACGTGGTGAGGCCATCTCCTAAGCCTGATCAGGCTCAGGATGTAGACGACGAAGAGGAGGTTAGCGATGCTGAGTCTGAGGCCACCGCGAAGCCCGCGCTCCCGCGCTGCCCCCTTAACCTCAAGCGATTGTCTAATGTGGCTTCTACTGCGTACATGAAGGCTGAAGGACAGCGAAATGCTTATGAGAAAGCCCTGTTCAATACACAGGAGCAGCGCCACAAGCTAAGGGAGCGCAGGGTCAAGTCTATTACCGACTACACCAGGGACGAATATGTTAGTATGTTCGAGAACCCTTATGAGACGGTGGCAGTGCGACAGCGCCCTTGGCAGCTGTTTCTACGACCTACAATTGCACCTGGATGGGAGGGTCATAAGCGGTATGATCAGGGACGGGAGTGGGATGCTAAGTTCGAGGAGGAGCGTCTCGAGGCTGAGAGGGAGGCAGCTCGTAACGAGGCGAGTGGCTCGAGATACTCTTTCCGCCGCCGCTAGGAGGACATCACAGGTCTGATCAGGGAGGATACAATAAGGAGGATTGGTTTTTGCTTTTACATGTCGTCTGCCCCTATGCTTTTACACTTTTCTCCTTTTAATATGTTGCGCGAAGAAGAAAACTGGGGGACGATTGGAAAGGGGCAGGGTTTCGCGTTTTCATTTTTCCTTTTATCAGCCTGCAGACACAATCACAGGCCTGATCAGATGTGACTAAGCAGGACCCTTCCAAGTACAAAAGGGGGCTCTAGTCAGATACTATCACAGAGATCGGGATCTCATCACGAAGCAGACAGAGAAGCTTGACATCTTTAGACAGGCACTTAGACAGACACGGACGAATTCATCACTTTGATATCTAAACAAGACGTGTAATAAGTGACTGTTGCTTTGTTTCCTTAGGCCTGACTAGACCTCTAAGGTCTAGGAGGGTATCCTCCTCCTCCAGAGATCACGACACACACATGCGTACCACTTAGCAACAAGGGCAAATCCGAACAGACTGCAAGACGTGAAGGATACACTTTTCTGGTTTGCTCATGGCCCTGATCAGGCCAAGGAGGACCTGAAAAGAGTAGTATCTCACGGTCTAGGCGTTGGGGTAGTCACTTGGGGTAATCGGTCACTCCAGGTGCACTCGTGACGATACTGGGACCTTGGTGTTTGGTGTGGTTTGTGTGTCAACTGCCCACTTGCTGGCTTCCTTTATCCCACGCAGTTTCAATAGTTCGGGAGCTGTTGTGATTGTGTATAAATGAGCCATGCTGCGATGCCGAGTCCAAGTCGAAACTTGCATTAAACGTTTACGGTTCACAGCATGCAAAGTTAAGTTGAGCAGGCCAGCACTCTGACAATCAAGAAGCTTTCACGCCACGCGATTGGATATTGACTCCCGGAGCCACCTCTTGCTTGCCCCCGAAGTTCCGATGAAGCTATGCAACCAAACACGTGCAGATCGTAATCGAAAAAACCCTTCTCAACTGAAGAGATCTGCCAAGGGGCATGGCATGCTGGTTCGTTGCCTTTCAAAGTCTATGCTTGGGTCAAGGATCAGACTGAACGACTACTCAACAACGACAACAGGGTGGAGGCTGTGGAAAGGGGGCAATTGCGCTGAACCCGAGACTCGTCTCGAGCTTGACCAGGTTGAAAGTCCCGAAAAGGTGAGCGGATGTCAAGAGGTTGAGATGAGATCGAGATTGTGCTGCGTACCGCTAGACTCGAGGATCTCCGCCGACGAGCGGGAACCCGTTCGGAGATGTAGC